ACTATCGCATAACTGTTTAGTCTCGCTTTGATTACTCTGAGCTTAGGAGGTGCGCACACTACTCGATTTTTAGTTGTGCAACTAAACAGTTGAATACGCTGCGAAACAATCGAGAATCGCACAATAGTTGTTCAACAGTTTAGTCAAAAGTGTGCTCACGCTCTCAGTCTATTTATTTTAGACGTCAAACTATGTTTCCAGTGTAAATTTCAGGGCCACCGCCCTGGGCGAGATTTATAGGAGGGCCTTTTTCTTTGAGGTTACGTAAGACTGTAAACTATAGCGGCCCTTTACATCGTCCTGGGCCGTCTTAACGCTGGTTGTTTCAAATTAATCCTTATTACTTCAGCTTTATGGTTAACCGAGTTACGTGGTAACTATAATACACATAACAACAAACCAATCAGAACAATAGTATAATTTCATCTTTCGTTACGTTAAGTAACATTTTTAGTTGTATTTCTTTGTATTGTCCCAATGGTATCAACTTATGCAATTTTTATTGGAATTTGACTCGCATGAACATTCAAGTGAGATTTATAACCGGTTTTCCATGAACATTTAACCATTTGTTGTTTCATTCGATAACTTCATGAAATGCATTTCCGAACGATGTAACTTGAGTTTTATTGTTTTGAAACTTAGTGCAAACTAACACTAATGAAGCACTAGGTAATCTTACTAATGTTATAAATGCGAAAGTTTAGATGGATGTTTGTTAGAGTTTGTAGCCTAAACTGCTCAACAGATTTCGATGAAATTTGGTATAGATGTAGAGGTTAGTCTGGAAGGACACATAGGCTTCTCACTTTTGTTTTTTTTAATTCCACGCCAACGGAGTCGCGGGCGAAAGCTAGTTATATAATAAATGAACACTTCAGAAACCCAGCATAAATTCAACAGATTAAGGTCTCACCTACCTTAGAATAGGGTCGATAATTTAAACTAAATAATGAGTATATTAGAGGAAGTTTGAGAGTAGCCCCAGTGGTTGAGAAAATAAGGAGTAAAAGGTTAGCGTGGTATGAGCATGTTATGAGAAGGGATGAATCGCATGTAACAAGATAGACGTTAGTTATGAATGTGGAGGTACACCGGTAGAGGTAGACCTAGAAAGAGATTGATTGCGTGAAAGGTGACATGATCAAGAAGGGAGTGATGACTGAGATGACGGATGATAGAGTTATTTGGAGGACGAAATTCCGGTGCCCCTTACGGGAGAAGGATAAGGCAGGGGAGATGATGATGATGATGATGATAAAGGAAATTAAACTAAAAGTAACGATTAAACAATTCTGAGTGCAGTATACCGTCAGCCATACAGGTCATATAAGTTCAAACTACTTGAGTTTAAATTAATCATTTGTTCACACTTCACTGCTGTCACCGGAATTATAATGAGGTTATGTTATACGCAAGTCTGTACAGTTAAACGTGATTCGAAAATTAAAAA